GCTATGAGGTAGGAGTCCGACTTCCTTTTTTGCTCATGGAGATCCAGAAGTCGAAGCACTGTTTACTGAAAAGACTGTTACCCTCCATGGAATTATTTTGACGCCTTGTTGAAAATCAGTTGACCGTAAAAGTATTAGTTTATTTCTGGAGTCTCAATTCTATTCCACTGATTTGTATGTCTGTCCTTATGCCAGTATCACACTTTCTTGATGATTGTAGCTTTATAGGAAATGTTGAAAACAGGGAGGTTTTTGGTTTTTTTTAAAGATAGTTTTGCTGCCTGGATCCCTTGCATTCCCATGTGAGTTTGAAGATCAAGTTGTCAGTTTCTGGGAAAAAAAAAAAAAAAAGACAGCTGAGATTTTGATAGGGATTGGGTTGAATACATAGTCAATTTTGGAGTATTGCCATATTAACTTTAACATTAAATATTTTGATCCATGAACATGGGATGTCTGTTCATTAGTCTTTAATTTTTATATACAGTGTTGGAGTTTTCTATATACAAGTCTTTCACTTGTTTTGTTAAATTTGTTCCTAAATAATAATATTCTTTTTGATTCTGTTGCAAATGGAATTGTCATTTTAAATTTCATTTTACAGTGTTCTTACTAGTGTATAAAAATACAATTGATTTTTGTACATGATCTTATATCCTGTAATTTTGCTGAACTCACTTAATAGTTTCAGTAGTTTTTCTGTGCATTCTCTGGGATTTTCTGTATATAAGGTCATGTCATTTGTAAATAGAGATAGTATTTATTACATGTTCCTTTCCAATCTAGATGTCTTTTATTTCTTTTCCCTTCCTTTATTGCCCTGGCTAGAACCTCTACTACAGTATTACAGTATTATATAGAAGTGGTGAGAGCAGACATCCTTGTCTTGTTCCTGATCTTAGAGGGAAAACATCCAGTCTTTAACACATTTTTTGGTTAAACCAAAAACCAAAAAACCAAACTTGTTGCCATCACTTTGATTCCGGCTTACAGCAACACTGTAGCACAGAGTGGAACTATCTCATAGGGTTTCCAAGGCTGTGATCTTTACAGAAGCGAAGTCCACACCAGACCTACTGCCGTTGAGTTCATTCCGACTCACAGCGCCCCTAGAGGACAGAGTGGAACTGCCCCACAGGGTTCCCAAGGCTGAGACCTTTACAGAAGCTGGCTGCCACCTAATTCTCCAGGAGAGCAGCTGGTGGGTTCCAACTGCCAGCTGTTTGGTTAGCAGCCAGGCACTTAGCCACTGTGCTGCCAGGACTCAAGTGTGATGTTAGCTGTGAGTTTTTCATAGATGCCCTTAATCAGATTGAGGACATGTCCTCCTTTTCCTGGTTTGTTTAGTGTTAGGATAGTATGTTGGATTTTGTCAAATGCTTTTTCTGTATCCATAAGATTATGAGACAGCTACTGTTCTTTATTCTAGTAATATGGTATATAGCATCAGTGAATTTTCCAGGGCTTTGGTCTGGTTCAGTCACAGGCAACATAGTGAAATCAAAACAGACCCGATTTTGTAAAATGTGGGTGCACTGCAGTGATAACTGGGACGGGAAAATGACAAGTTGAATCCGTGAACTGGCATCAGAGACTTGGAAGAAGTGTGGCAAGCACTTTCAGGAGCCTGAAGTGGGAGATTGGATCATTGCCAGCAGTGTGGAGAGCGACACACATTCAAAGCAGCACCGTTGGTTGCCATATTTGAGCAAGGCACCGTTATTTCTGACTCTGCCAGTTAAGAGATTTGAATGCTATGAGAGGCGCACAGTACTCTTGTCCCAAGAAGTGACTACTACCTTGTCCCTTGTCAGTTCTACTATATACCTGGAAATTCTTACAGAACATACAAATACACTTGTAGAAACATTGTCTGTCAACCCTACACATGGTCATGGGCACGCTCCCCTCTGCATAGACATACCTAATAGTTCAGCTTGTCTACCCGTCTATCCACCTGTATACCCATGTTTGCCATCACTGACAGTACAGTACTCTGCACAAAGGTTCGTCTTTGTTGTCTGTACCTCCCATGCACCTCTCTATGTCTTCCTCTTCCTCAGTGCCACTGTGTTGGTCACTCACATTTGGTACATTGCCCTTCCCTTCCCCAAAATCAATACTTGTCTCTACCTATGTAACGTTCCTTCCCCTCCCCTCCCACCCTTAGTAACCAACAAAGAAAGTTTCTTTCCGTAGTTAAACCTTTCCTTGACTTTTTAGAATAATGAACTAATACAATATTTGTCCTTCTGTGATTGACTGACTTCACTCAGCATAATGTCCTCCGAGTTCATCCATGTTATATGGTGTGTCTTGCAGATTCTCTATTATTCTTTAGGGTTGCATAGTATTCCACTGTGTGTATGTACCATTCTTCTGCTGATGGGCACCTAGGTGGTTTCCGTGTTTTTGCTCTTGTGAATAGTGCTGCAATGAACATGGGTGTACATATATCTGTTCTTGTCCTGGCTCTCACTTTTTTAGGATATATACCTAGTAATGGGATTGCTGGGTCAAATGGTATTTCTTACTCCAGCTCTCTAAGGAATCGCCATACTGCTTTCCACGGTGGTGGTGGTGTCATTTTACAGTCCCACCAGCGCTGTATGAGAGTCACAATCTCCCCACATCCTCTTCAGCATTTATTTTGTCTTGCTGAGCTTTGCTGTTAGTGCTGGGGCAAGATGGTATCTCATTGTTGTTTTGATTTGCACCTCTCTGATGGCTAATGCACCAGCAACTCCTCGGAAGGCAATCTACTTCCGTAGTGATACTGCCTTGGCAACCCAAGGAGGGGTCGCTATGAGTCGGGTCCGACTCGACGGCACATAACAACAACAACAACAACAATGGCTAATGATCATGAACATTTGTTCATGGGTTTGTTGGCCACCACAATATCCTCTTTGGTGAAGTGTCTGTTCATGTCTTCTGCCCATTTTTTAATTGCATAACCCCTTTTTTAAAAAAAAAAAAAACACATTTTATTTTTGTTGTTGACAGTATGCACAGCATAACATACACCAGTTCAACAGTTTCTCCCTGTCCAATTCCGTGATGCTGGTGACATTCTGCAAGTTGTGCAGCCGTTCTCACCCTTCTTCTCCGAGTTGTTCCTCCCCTGTTGGTGTAAACTCGCTGCCCCTAAGTTTCCTGTTGTCCATTTGATCCCAGATAGATCTTAAAAGAGCACAGCACTCCAGGCAGACATTCTTTTTCACCAGTTAAGCTAAACTATTTAGTTTTAAGAAAATTTCAGGGGATATTTTTGGTTTAAGATTGAAAGATTATCTCAGAGATGTATAATCCTTTTATATGTTGCTGGTTCAGTTTGCCAATATTTTGTTGAGATATTCGACTTTTAAGAGAAGAAAAAGTAGGCTATTAAATGATGTAGTGTGATCACACTGAATATAGGTGAATTTTTCTAAAAGGAGGTATTTCCCCGTTTGATTGTCCTGAATAGTAGAATTCTAAGTGTGGTTTTTCCTTGGAGAGTTGGCTCTGTTCTGGAGTTGGGCGGTGGACTTCTGGAACTGGAAGGGACTGTGCCGCTGTGGTCCAGCCAGTGCGAGGGGTTGGAATGGGTGCACCCTTTCTGGAGGGTGTTTGGGCAGTAAGTATCAAAAGCCAGCCATTCTATATTTAGGCATTTGCCTCAAGGAATTACTTGAACACCTGTGCCAACCAAGTGCTTGCTGCGTTGAACAGCTGAAATACCCATCTGTAAGGTGCACAGCCGAATGATAGTCACATTAGGATATTTGAGTTGTGCTGAACTACACTTGAGACCACTGCACCTGGGACTGTCCGTTTCTGGGTTTACATTAACGTGTGTATACCTGGAGAAGCAGGAAGGGCCGGTGTTGGCTGGACGTGTAATGTGTCCAACCCCCAAAGACAATTAAAGATCAGCTTTATAAAGATACTGATAATGAAAGGCAATAATAATGAAGATGGGGGGAAAAATACTCAACTTAGGTCGGGACCGACTCCCAATAGAGTGTCAGAATGGCACTGCCTGTGCAGTGAAACGTGTGAGAGCTGGAATTCGGCAGGGCCGCCTTGTTTGTTCAGATCGTGCGAGTTTTTCCCCTTTGACAGGGTACAGTCTTAGCACTTTTGTATCATTTTGGTGGAAAACATTTTGAGTTTTCCTTCTCTGACTGGTTTCTGCCTTATACAGGTTCTGGCTTTAGCAGGTTTTACTGTATTCGGCCATAGCATGAGAAATGTCTACGTGCACACGCTGCAGAGCGTGTGGAAGGTGTGTGCCACACTGGGAAGGCTGGAGGTGGCCCGGTGGGCAGCCGCCTCAGGGAAGCCTGGCCTGGAGCTGCTCTGAGTCTCGGCTGGCACCTCCGTGTGCAGGCATGGGCACTGGCCCGGCCCGTGTCCTCTGCGGAGGGAGGTAGAGGAGCATGCTTGCTCCCAGATGGTGATTGGAGGCAGCAGGTGACGGTGGCTGCTGAAGGCTGCCCTCCGGATGCCCCAGCCTGGCCCAGGAGGCTGCCTTCTGTGGGTAGCTGCGACTTTCTGTGCTCCTGCTTTCGTTTCCGGCCCCAAATTTCCCAGGCCGCCTACATGTTAATACAAGCCTGCTCCCTGGCATTCGTCTGCGAGTAGCATACAGAGCCCATGGCCCATTATGGCTGAGGAGAGAATTGCAGGAATGTGACCGGGGCATTGAAACATCTGATATTTGTAGACCTTATTTTTAGGAAGCACAGATATAGTCTTTCCTTAAACTTAAAAACAAAACAAAGTGTTGTGAAAGGGTGCCTGTTCCCCAAAGTTCAAAGGTCTTTCCCAGCCCTCACTAACCCCTAGATCTGATTTCATTTCCACGCCTGGATGCCAGCATTAGCTTTGCTGTGCGGATTGACTCCTGGTAGCAGGAGATGTTTGGATGTTTGGCTGGGGCCACTGCTGAACTTTTCCAGATGGCCCCAGCGTGCCTGTCTCCACGGCCCCATCTCACTTACCCTCTCTTTCAGGAACTGCTTCTCCGAGATGGCCCCTGTGTGCGCCGTGGTCGGCGGCATCTTGGCACAGGAGATTGTGAAGGTAAATGTCACCATGGGGCACAAGAGAGTCGACCCGCTGCAGTGCAACTCTTGTCAACAGACCAAGCAGAACAAAGGGCTGTCCTGGGAAGCGGACCTGTCTCCCATCCTTGTTTCACCCCTCCCCTTTTCTTCTGTCCTCCTCTCCCCCCCACTCGGTCCCATCCTTATCGTCCTGTCCTGGGGGCCCTTCAGCTCATGTCCCAAGCCTGGCCCACCCTCTGCTGAGCTCAGAGCCGGGCATAGTGCTGATGACTGTCCCCTGACTGTATGTCACTTACCTGGTGCTCATGACATTTGTTTCTCACAGTATGTGAAATAGGGGCAGTCACTGTCCGCATTTCAGAGAAAATCGAGGCCTGGAGCAGGAGCTCCCAACCCGAGATTTTAAGCACAACTGGACACTATCTCTGCATCCCCCAGCCCACTGGCAGCAAGCCCCTTGTTCTGGTCCCCACACATAGGTGTTTATACAGCTGAGCACAGTTGCACATGAACTGTCTCAGGGCCCCGTGAGGCCCTGTACAGAGCAGTCCCGTGACACATGCTACTGTCCCTCTCGGAAGGGCAGCCTGTCCCCTGGGGTCCCCTCACCAGGAGCTCGCAGTCTCTTCTGAGTTGCTCCCAGATGACTTGTGTTGCTAAACTATGGCGTGCCCCCAAATGTCCTTTCTTTGGGAACTTGGTGACTTGCCCAGAAGTGTTGATTTTGCCTTTTGCGGAGCCTTGGGTTAGGGTTAGGCTACATTAGTGTATTGGTGGTTGTGGTTTGTCCTTGGCATTCACAGGGCAGAGTTGGGCCTGATGCAGCGGTTTCCTGAGTCCATTGTCTACCCAGTGAACATGGAGACCCAGCTCCCACTGCTGCCTTCAGTTGCTCAGTTGGCTCTGGAGACACCTGACTGAATTTGATGGTCCTCCCTCCTCCTGAGGCTCCTGTTGTCTCCTCTCTCCTGATCCTTCTCTAGACCAGCTCCCCTGCCCCAGGTCCACATGCTTCTCTGTCCTGGGCAGTGGGCACCACAGAGAAGGGAGAGGCCAGAGGAGGTGTGTGATGGCCAGGCCGGGCCTCATCTCAGGCCTTGGACTGAGCCCAAAGTGAGGGAGACGTGCTGTCAGTGGGTGCAGTCTGAGAAGTTGGCGGTGGCTGCCCAGAGCAGAGCGGTGAGAAGGCCGCTTGCACACAGACTGAGCCGGAAAGGCCACAGTGATTCGCAGGCCATAAGGGGACGGGAGCCTGTGGAGTCTCTCGTAACGGCAGCAGCAGGAAGCACGTGATGTTTACTGGCACCTCTGTGCAGCCGACTGCGTGCTTCGCGTGGAGGGGCTTCTCTCGGGGGGTAGGAACCGTGGGACTCCTGGCTTAGGGGGAAGGGCCGTGGGGCAGGAGAGTTACCAGGTGGTTACCAGGCTCGTCAGTGGCCCGGCCAGACCCTGAGCCCACAGTGGCCTGGTTGCTCAGCCTGTGTCCCCACACTTGGCTGTCCTGTCTCGGGTGCTCCCCTAGACGGTACCTTGCTCAGAAGCCCTGAGCCGCCAGCCCTGCGCCTCCTCCAGAAGCCCCTCCCGGCGCCCTCCCCCCTGTGGTTGCCATGGCCTCTCTGCATCCCAATCCTCGCCCTCACGCGGCCCCTCCTGCTGCTGCTGGGGACAGCTGCTGCTAGCATCTTGTTGCCGTCTGTCCCGGCAGCCCGGGGACTCTGCATTCTTGGTTGCTGGGTGTGTTTGGACCTCCCTGCCCCCACTGTGCTCAGGAAGCACTTTACCTTTTGCCCCGTGCCCACCCTGTGCCCTGCTCTCATCTCCGCCACTTACTCCGCTTTACTTAGCACCAGGCCTGCCTGCAGCCACTTGGCCATAGGGCCCCATGGTCGGAGCACTGAGCTCTGACCACCTCTGGAGGACTCGTTAGGAGGTGGAGGGCAGCCGTGGGAGTCTGTCCCCGAGAGTCATCTTATGCCTCCACATTCCTCATCCTGCACCCCCATCCCCTGTCAAGTTTGCTTCCGTCGTCTAAATTGTCCTTCCCTTCCGTCCGGCCCTAGTGCCCTTGGCAGGTCCCTCCTGGCTCCCTGCTGTTGAACGTGGATCGTCTGCTGGGGCTGGCGGTTTGGGATCCCCAGATACTGGTAAAGGGCCCTGGACAGTAAACAGCACCTGTTTGCAGGCCGTTCCCACATTCCAGGCACCTCCCACGCCTGATAGCCTTTCATCCCCACCAAGGACCGGCAGGGGGACGCTGCACGTGTGTCTGTCTGGGCAACAAGCTCAAAGGCGTGCCCAGCCTCCCAGTGGAACACTGGGTTCTCCCCCAGAGCACTCCTCTGCCCAGGCCCTTCATGCACCCAGCCTGGCCCAGCCTCACTGCCTGCCCACCTGTGGGCATCGGCCGCACAAACTGGCTTGCTCTGGCCCCTGCAGCCCTTTCTGCCAGCCCTTGGCCTGGAGTGCCCCCTGCTCCTCCCGCCACCTCGCCTGCCTGCCATCACGATTCATGCTGCCCGACAGATGACAGCTCAGGGACCCCAGACAGACATTCCGCGTCCACCTTAATACTGATCGTTAAATATATCGTGTAATTGTAGGCTCGAGTACAAATCAAATCAGAATACCCGTCTAGTCTTGAGCACTCTCGGGCCAGGCACAGTGCTAACCGTATCCTTCTCACCAGCTCCGTGTGGGCAGAATCCTTACTGCTGACGCAGGCCCCAAGACGGTGGATGCCCGGAAGTTTCTGCCACTGCACAGATAATCCCCACTCGAGGGGGCGAATACCTGAAATGGACTGGGCTCAGTGCTCATGTCACAGTGCTTAGGGCATGTGTGTGTGTTGAAATGAGGTCCTTCCTTATGAAGAACGAGCGTGGTGCTCCCTGGAATCCTAGACCCAACCCAGCCACCAGCCTTGGCGATGTCCTCTCAGTGGTAGTTCCTGGTGATGTCTGCTGATGCCTGTGAGCTATCTCCCCGAAGCATGCAGGCCTACTCACGGCTCAGCATGTCATTTCAGGGAGTCTCACCCCATCTTCACAAGGCCTCTCCTTCTGTTGACCCCTCCTGGGACCTCTGGGTCCTAGGGCCGTCCTGTGAGAGGCAGGTGAGCCCCCGTCACAGCATTGTGTGTCCTTGATCAATGCATCCCTTTGGGTGACAGAGGTGGCCGCCCAAGACCAAAGAAATGAATGACTGCCTTCACCATTTGAATAGTTGTACATAACCGTTACTGCTATCAGCCCGGCAGCATTTCTCTATGAGGAGCCGTCTTTTAGATGCTTGAAGGCCATCCTCCAGTTTAACCCTCCAGGATAATACATGTGTTATTCTTGCTTTACAGGCAGAAAGTGGGGTTCAGGGAGGTTAAATGAGCTGCCTGAGGGCCCACAGCTGGGAGGGAATAGACCAGAGGGTTGTGACAACCAAAAACGTCTCAGACGTCGCAGCATTGCCCCTCGTTGAGAGCCACTGCTCTGGACCGCGCGTCGAAGACCTTTGCTCCCGTTTTGCCCCTTTTAGAGCCCTGGACTGACCCCTTCTGGTTTTCTCGCCAGGCCTTATCTCAGAGGGACCCTCCTCACAACAACTTCTTCTTCTTTGATGGCATGAAGGGGAGTGGCATTGTGGAGTGTCTTGGCCACAAGTGAACCGGAGACCTGGCAGCCCCGAGATGCTGACCACGGCATACCCAGGGATACTGCCTGCCCCCTGCCCCCACAAAGGCACCTGAAGCCAAGGACCAGTACACACCACTCCCTGCACATGTGGAAATGGTGCAGGTGTATGGCTTCCACTCACCAGCAGCTGCTGAACAAGGCTCGGGACTGGCTGGCCCCATTCCGGCGCCAGTAGGCCTGCCGGTTCCCCTGAGTGGTGATCACCTCAGGCACCCCAACACCTCCCCACCTGCGTCCCGGCTTCCCCCGGCCTCTGGGCCCGGGACCAGCACGCCTTGTTGCCTAGGAGCTTCTTGCCACCTGCCTGACCTTCCTCCCTGCCTGCTGTCACACAGCGAGGAGCGTGACTTCAGGTGGGGAGTAGGCCCAGGCCCATTGGAGCCAGAGTGCCCGGATTCAGCAGGTGCCTTCGGAGAGGGAACGGCCCGGCGGAACGTGTCTCCTCCACAGCTAGAGAGCCCCACAAACAGCAGGTGCCATCTGCTGGGCTGGTCTGGAGGTGGTCTTTCGGATCATCGGAGTGGGCCCGGCCTTGGGAAGGAGGGCTGTGTGCCTGAGCCCCCAGGGATATCTGGGGAGACCTTCTCAGTGGAACATGGCTGGGTGCTTGTTTATGAAGTTGGGTCCTGGGCTCACCCCTGGAGAGGCACGTCCCCGGGACCGAGCTGTGGCAGGAGCCATCCTCTCCCCAGAGCCCGGTTGTGAACCCCAAATCACAGCTGTTTTGCGTATCTCCTGGACTTTCCCTGGGTCTCTAATGAGGAATGATAGTGGAAATAAAAGTTGTTGTGGTTTTGGATTATTAGTTGTTGTTTGTCTTTCATGTTAGCAGCTCCATCTGCCTGGGAGTGAGCCTCCCGTTGACCTGTCAGGCCTGCAGAAACGCCCCCAGACGCCCTGGCCGGACGGCGGGACGCCTCCCTTGGCCACGCAGCAGGAGTTAGACCACGTTCTGGAGCGTGGGGCAGCTTTGGGTTCCTGCTGACTTTCCAGTCATTTCAGACCAGAGTAGCTGTCCTCCGTGCAGGAACGTAATCGTCACAAACGGGAAGACGGGCACCTGTGCTGCCAGGCATCTCGGGGAAAGTAGGGGTGTCCCACTGTAGACCTGGTGCCTCTGAAGGGACCAGCCCGAGGCCCACAGCCGTGGAGGCCAAGCCTGCCCTTGGCCCAGCAGCCTGAGCTCAGGTCGGGACACCGCACGCTTGTGACTGTCCTTGATGTCAAGTCTCCATCCGACCCAACCAGCCTTTTCCCATTTGAGTCCTCTGTGAGGCGAGGTACATCCACCCCTCCCAACAGCCACCTCTCCCTGGATGAGGGCGGGCTGCCGCTCAGGCACCTCTGGAAGGGGTCGCTTTCTGCACCCCTTGGTGCAGAACTAGGGGCGCTGAGGTGAGCAGTTTTTTTGCCCCTTGAGCCTCAGCCCAGGTTTGAAACGTTCAGCTAATTACTCCCTTCCCTTTGCAATGCGGGGCTGTGGTCACAAGGGGGAGCAGGTGGGTCTGGATGGCTAAAGCCAGATTGTTGTCGGCACATCCTCCCCTGAAGCCTTTGAAACTTTCCACCCCAGCCTCTCCTGGCAGGGCCTGAGTCATCTGGAGCACAGCCTTCGGGGCCGTGGGATGAGCCGGCAGGAAGCTACCAGCCCCGTCGAGAAATGCCTTTACTCTTCAGATTTTACATTCTCCCACTGGGCACGCGGCTGTGATAGAAAACGGGTTCCCCCGGGTCTCCAGGACGCAGCCAGTGGTTCTCCTGCGGCATCTGGTAACCTCCGGGAGGCGCTAAGGCCGTTTGAGAAGGAGCCTCTAATCCAGGAAGCTAACACACATCTGGTTGAACTACTTGGAGATGTAAGAGCCGCTAAATGAAAGGAGCTATGTTTGGGGCCGCCAAACCCCACACCACACTTGACTTGTCTTTATTATGTGTAATAACCAAGCTTTCCTGCTTCACACACGAGGCTCTCGAAGCCCCAGGACATCTTAGAACAGATGCCACTCTAATAGACGCCCCAAATAATACGTTCAGATGTTACACAAAGTTCTCAGACTCCTCGCCGCCCCACATTCTCTGGTTCTCCTTTGCATTCCGAACTTGCGCCAGTGTCTTGTGTATTTTTCAGTTGTTTTACTGTGAAAACAACAACAGACACAGATAAAACATTTGCCAAGTCTACGTTTTTCACAGGTACCTTTCAGTGATGTTGGTTACATTCATGACGTTGGGCAACCGTCACCACTATCCGTTTGCAGATTATCCCACCACCGGGAACAAAACTCAGTGCCCCCTAAGCTAAACCTCCCCTCTCCCCCTCCTTCCGGCCCCTGGTCTCTATTTCATGTGAGTGGGGTCGTCCATCTCTCCTGCTGTGACAATTGATTCCTCTCAGCGGCAGGTTTTCAGGCCTCACCCATGAGGAGGCATGCCTCAGGACGACTTTTGCTGCATGAATAGCAGCACATTATGTCCACAGGCAGACCTTGTTGGAGCGCGTTTCACAGATAGTGCATTTTTCACAAATTGAAGGTTTGTGGCGACCCTGCATCAAGCAAGTCTGTCGGCACCTTTTCCCAACAGCCCGTGTGTACTTCATGTCCCTGTGTCGTGTAGTGATCGTTCTCACCATACCATCATGCTGTCGCACACTTAATAGACAGACGTGTCATGTCATTGTCATTGTTACAGCACTGGGACACCAAAAAGTGCATATGACCCGCTTGATTGTGATACGTGATTGCAGTGGTCTGCAACCGAACCCCACTATCTGTGAGGTCGACCTGTTTGAGCTTGATCCCCCTGCCGATAACTTGGCTCTGTGGAACAGCACTGCAGTGACCATCTGTGTGGTAGTTAGGTTTGTGGGTCAACTTGGCTGGGCCTGGCTGAGTGGCTGGGCAGCTGGTGGTAGTTATTCCCCATGATGAGACT